TAATAGATTTAAAAGGACTTGGGACAGGGCACAGAACCAGAAGTCCACTAATCTGCTATCCTCTTTATTTCTAAGAAGAAAAATACACCAGGGAAGGAAAGGAGTGACTGTGATGAACTATGTGACCCATTCAGTGTTTTTTTCATCTCTGACATTGGATGGCCCAAGTTTGAATTAAATTGTAACCTCTATACAAAGATGACACATTGAACCCACATCACCCCAGCCTCCACTCTGCAGGACCAGAACAAAGTTCTCTAGTGGTAAATAATGAGTTCATTGTTGCAAGAGACCTTTCGGCGAGTCCTGACCATTTTCCAGAACAAATTCAACAATTTCTGATATTGTCAACACTCAGATTCTACTATTTGTTTCATATCATTTGTCCTAAGTGTATCATTTTCTTTCTCCTGATTTTTCTTTCCGTAAGGAAAATAAAAAGAGACACAGACAMGAGATACAGAGGCAGGAAGAAGAGAAAAAGAGTGGCTGTCCCTCCAAGCAGCCAGGTTTCTTTATATCAAAAGTTCCATAGCTMCTTAGTACCGTGACTACATTATCATTTAGTATTCCTTTAATCCCAGGTGCTAGATAATTGAGATCAAAGTCCGGGCCCTTTAAGACAGCCCTCTTTTCTCTAAGGACATTACCATAGTAACTAGATACTGCACCTGTAGAGTTATCTTACTAGCTTCAAAGAGAAATTGCTGGGCATTCCGAGGGTGGAGGACAGAGCACCTGTTCCCCCCCAGCCCCAGAGTTTGCTCACCAGAGAAACGCTTCCCTGTACATTTCCACCTTCAGAGTACCTACAGGTCCCTATATTCCCAGGAGCTGTGTGCCTGAGGTGAAGGTCAAAACTGATAAGACTCCAATACAGAGTTTCCTTGTAAAGTACATTGCTATAGCAGCCAGGCATCCAGTGTCTTTGCACAGAAACTTCTTAGTCACCAAGCAGGCCACAATCATGCAGTTTACCAGAGACCCCAATCCCAGACACAGATTCTACTATTTCTTTCATATCATTTGTCCTGAGGGTATCATTTTCTTACTCCTGATAGAGCTATGCAAGTGCTGTACCACTGAGCTACACCCTTGGCCAAAAAAAAAAAAATTGATATTTTTTTATCATGTTTAGTGTATTAGTTCATTTTCTCTTCCCATATCAAAATGCCTGAAGCTGGCTACTTATAAGAAAACTCACACAGTTTTGGAGGCTGAGAGACCACGCTTGGACATCCCTGTTGGTTAGCCCTGTGCTGAGGGCTACACAGGGGTTGCTATCACAATGGTAGAATAAGAAACAGGAAGCCAGTCTTGTTATAACAACCTACTCTCTTGGGAACAAAATGGGTCCCATCAGAACTACATTAATCCCTTCTCACAGTGACCCCAATGACCTAATTACCTCCCAATACACCTCCACCTTTTAAAGTTGCTGCCACCTCTAACATGGCCACTGGAGACCTTTAGGGATGAACCACATCCAAACCATGCCATTTGGAATACATGCCTATGTTAAAGAAAAAAATTCAATCACACTTGCTAAGGCRCGGGAAGGAAGACTTCACTTAGGATTGTGGAAATGGGTACGGGACTGTTGCAATAGGGTTCTGCAGAGAGGAGACAGAGATCCGGCTCCAGTCAATACAGTATGGTGAGTGGCTATAGCCAAGGAGCGGGTTATGGGGGACAGTCGATGGAGTGACCAAGAGGAAATGCTCTTTACCAAGGGTAAGGAGTGTCCTGGCTCAGTCGACCTAGCTGGATATTCACTGAAGACAGGCGGGGGTGAGCAGCCTTCACCTGCRGGAATTGATTGGATACTGAGAATGATCCGATATCCACAGTATGGAGTTCTTGCTAAATTGACTTTGTAGGGTTCTTTGCTAAAACTTGATTTTATAAGAAAATACACAAAAAGGCCCAGAAGATGATTCAGAAACCTGAATAAAGTTTGACCAAGCAAAGAATCTGTCACAGAGGCTGGAGATGTGGCTCAAGCAGTAGCTCGCCTGGCATGCGTTCGATCCTCAGCACCACATACAAACAAAGATGTCATGTCCGCCGAATACTAAAATAAATAAATAAATAAATAAAAATCTGTCACATCCAAGTGTGTCCAAATCCAGCCAGGC